GTCTATGCAAGTCAGCGGGTGGAACACACCCGCCTTTTAGTTACACAAAGCCACAGGTTTTCATAGTGTGCTATTATGACCTTCTGGCCACCAGCATCCTGACAGCCAATGACATCAGTTGATAAGGAGGATGTCGGTTGCCTGCACGGCATCCTAGTTTGACCCTCCCCCGCCCGTCTACGTCAGTTCTGGGGTCACATTGGCTCGGTGATGGAGAAAAACTGAGGAGAGGAGAGAAACATAGGCATACTAGTCAGTACAAGTGTACAAAAGTGTATTTGTTTTAGAAGCGTAAACCATCTCTAATGTTGGGTGTCCTACATGTGTGGATGTGTTTTATATAAAACTATTTGAATAGTTGTTCACATTTTAGAATGGGGTGCCTCAAGACTGTCCATGATTTTAAAGGGTGCCTTGACTGAAAAAAAGGTTGATAAACACTGATCTAGAAACAGGTTTGTTGGGTGAACTCGGAGTTGGTTTTTATCTTTATGGTAGTTATAGAAATGTTCTTCATTTCCCTTGACCTGAAAGGTTCGTATAGGTCCAGCCAGGCTCTGCTCGCAGCTTGTGTCTGCTGCGTTGTGCAATATTTCTCTTTGATCCCGGACGTCTGTGACTCCTCCATATTATGAAATCTGGTGTTATGTGCCGTATGACATGTACACCTGGGTTGCTCTAATCATCTTCACATTAAGACTGAACCTGGCCTACAACTAAAGAGCACACCTTTACCTTCTCTGTCACATGTAAAGTCCCCTCCAGGAGCTCGCTGTACAATTTACAGTGCGGATTTGCACCCTTTCCTTTGAATGGGGCCTGCATTTTTCAAAGCAAGCATGTCAGGATTCAGATACTCCTTTTTTTTATTTTTTTAAAATCAGTCAGAATCTAGAGAAATTGTGCATGGCGACCAGTCAACTTCCACCCTTCATTTTCAAAGCTTCATTGAACAAGCTGAAGATGGATGATTGGTTGCCATGTATAGCTGCTCCAGGTTTGATCATTTCCCCCTATGTGCCTACGTGTAATAAAGACTCCTTGCCTTCCTCTTGCAAGATGCTTTACAGCACGGGTGTCAAACTGGCAGCCCTCCAGCTGTTGCCAAACTACAAGTCCCATGAGGCATTGCAAGATTGACAGTTACAAGCAGGGGCGGACTGACAACTCATGGGGCCCCTGGGCAACTGGAGATCCTGGGGCCCCTGCGTCCTCACTAACACTTAAACCACACCCAAAAAAGCCTATGAAAGGTATCGGCATCTCATGGGGCCCTTTACTGACCTTGGGACCTCGGGCAGTGCTTGAATGGTCAGTCCGCCCCTGGTTACAAGCATGACTCCCAAAGGCAGAGGCATGATGGGACTTCTGGGATGGGGCCCCCAGTTTGACACCCCTGCTTTAGAGTATCCTGTACATGCATACAGGTCTCGGTACGGGCAGAAGGACATTCTGGGTTTTCTGCCGCAATCTACTGCAATCAGAGGTGTCTCGTCTACGTTTCTCTGCTGCCCCTTTTGTGCTTTGTATGCCATACTGTGTATCACCATTGTTCTTAATGCTCCAGTTTTTCATTGGTTCCTGGTGCTAGACCATTGGACAAGTATATTAAATATCCATGAGGGAAGATAAATTAGCGTAACGTCACTCTCTCAATCAATATTGACTGTTGTTATGCTTTATGCTGCTAGCATTAGTAAATAGGAAAGCATATCCTATTTACTTGTTTTTACATTTCTTCAGTTACTTCCTGGTTTCTGGCCTAGGCAAATTATGTCATACAAAGCAAGGGGGGTTCTCATTTTACTCTATGGGTGAGCTAAGGGCAGATTGATTCCGGGAAGAATCATGACATAAGAACACAGCTCTTACTCCGCAGGTCCCGAGTTTCACTTGGAAGCCAAGGTCTATCTGCATTGTATATTCGGATGATAAATACACCTAAGCATAACATACAGATCTTTTTAAAACCGTTTTCTGTTATTCAAGAGAGTATTATTGTGAGGGTGCCTACCTGCCTATGTACTTACCTGTCCAGAGGAAGTAACAACAGTGGTGCTGCAGGATACCAGTGGGGTTATAGTGCCCAGGATACCAGGCTGAAGGGAGTACATATACAGGGAGGATCCAGAGGTGATCCAAAAGACTTTGTGGTCCTGTGGGGTCGCCGAGCGGAGGTGAGAGGCCATTGCAGCCATTTTTAGGATCACTTAAAAAACACATCGGTGTGTTGTGCATCCACACTGTATATGTTGTATGACCAGGAGTGAAGCACCTTGTCTTTTTGTTTTCACAGAAATTGGACTTTTTGCACTACTGTACTTTTTGTTATTATTTTTTCATGTATATTAATATTTTTTGTATGTCACCAGAATGTTTAATATTTTGAGTGATTTTTATCCCTTGATAGGGATTCACATTATTTATAAATTTAAATCAATATAGGTTTGTGTCTAAGTTTATTGGGTACCAGGGGTCACATCAGTTGTATCCCTATGGGGATTGTGTTCACATTTATTATCATCATTATTATATCACCTTGTATAGGCCACTTTATTTGGTCCAATTTTAGGACCTTGTGTGGTTTTTAGCACGTTTAGTCACTTTTTTATGTTATATTTATTGTATGTAGCGCTACACTATTTTATATTGCAATATTCACCTTTCTTCAGTTACTTCCTGGTTTCTGGCCTAGGAAAATTATGTCATACATCGCAGGGGGGGGTGCTCATTTCACTCTATGGGTGAGCTAAGGGCAGATTGATTCCGGGAAGTAAATGCTACATGAACCATTTGCCCACATTTGACCACAGCCAGAAATGTCAGGGGGAGTTTTTCAAAATGATTTCTCAGCAAAATAAAGCCTAGAGACATGGATGGATGGGGGGGGGGTTGCTTTGCATATTAATGATTTAAATAGCATTTTTGATTGCTTTGCACAGAGTAGGAGTTGGGTTTGAATATTAATCTGAGTTTTTGGTCTGTGGTGCTCAGATGCAGTGTAGTTCTGTTTTTTAATGTTTTTGGTTTTAAACAGGTGATCCTAAAGCCAAATTTAGTTTGTTTGCTATGCGTAATCTTTTGGAACCCACTGATACTTGATGCCCCCCCCTCCCGTGTAAAGGGTGAATATGAAAGTTCAGTTCATTATGGTATGAGAAAGATGATGTATATTAGGAAATACAGTCAGGTCCATAAATATTGGGACATCGACACAATTCTAACATTTTTGGCTCTATACACCACCACAATGGATTTGAAATGAAACGAACAAGATGTGCTTTAACTGCAGACTGTCAGCTTTAATTTGAGGGTATTTACATCCAATTCAGGTGAACGGTGTAGGAATTACAACAGTTTGCATATGTGCCTCCCACTTGATAAGGGACCAAAAGTAATGGGACAATTGGCTTCTCAGCTGTTCCAAGGCCAGGTGCGTGTTATTCCCTCATTATCCCAATTACAATGAGCAGATAAAAGGTCCAGAGTTCATTTCAAGTGTGCTATTTGCATTTGGAATCTGTTGCTGTCAACTCTCAAGATGAGATCCAAAGAGCTGTCACTATCAGTGAAGCAAATCATCATTAGGCTGAAAAAACAAAACAAACCCATCAGAGAGATAGCAAAAACATTAGGCGTGGCCAAAACAACTGTTTGGAACATTCTTAAAAAGAAGGAACGCACCGGTGAGCTCAGCAACACCAAAACACCCGGAAGACCACGGAAAACAACTGTGGTGGATGACCGAAGAATTCTTTCCCTGGTGAAGAAAACACCCTTCACAACAGTTGGCCAGATCAAGAACACTCTCCAGGAGGTAGGTGTATGTGTGTCAAAGTCACCAATCAAGAGAAGACTTCACCAGAGTGAATACAGAGGGTTCACCACAAGATGTAAACCATTGGTGAGCCTCAAAAACAGGAAGGCCAGATTAGAGTTTGCCAAACAACATCTAAAAAAGCCTTCACAGTTCTGGAACAACATCCTATGGACAGATGAGACCGACATCAACTTGTACCAGAGTGATGGGAAGAGAAGAGTATGGAGAAGGAGCTGCTCATGATCCTAAGCATACCACCTCATCAGTGAAGCATGGTGGTGGTAGTGTCATGGCGTGGGCATGTATGGTTGCCAATGGAACTGGTTCTCTTGTATTTATTGATGATGTGACTGCTGACAAAAGCAGCAGGATGAATTCTGAAGTGTTTCGGGCAATATTATCTGCTCATATTCAGCCAAATGCTTCAGAACTCATTGGACGCCGCTTTACAGTGCAGATGGACAATGACCCAAAGCATACTGCAAAAGCAACCAAAGAATATTTTAAGGGAAAGAAGTGGAATTTTATGCAATGGCCAAGTCAATCACCTGACCTGAATCCGGTTGAGCATACATTTCACTTGCTGAAGACAAAACTGAAGGGAAAATGCCCCAAGAACAAGCAGGAACTGAAGACAGTTGCAGTAGAGGCCGGGCAGAGCATCACCATGGATGAAACCCAGCGTCTGCTGATGTCTATGCGTTCCAGACTTAAGGCTGTAATTGACTGCAAAGGATTTGCAACCAAGTATTAAAAAGTGAAAGTTTGATTTCTGATTATCATTCTGTCCCATTACTTTTGGTCTCTTAACAAGTGGGAGGCACATATGCAAACTGTTGTAATTCCTACACCGTTCACCTGATTTGGATGTAAATACCCTCAAATTAAAGCTGACAGTCTGCAGTTAAAGCACATCTTGTTTGTTTCATTTCAAATCCATTGTGGTGGTGTATAGAGCCAAAAATGTTAAAATTGTGCCGATGTCCCAATATTTATGGACCTGACTGTATCTGACTGACGATGAGCTTTTTAAGACGGATATTTCTGAAAATGGCCTCTTGGTTACGTTTAACTGGCTATGTATGACTCCTTGTACTATAGGCTCACAGGTTTTTGTTTTTTTTTTTGCTCTTTGCATGTTTCTTAACCAGCTTTGTGTTCTCTTTGCCAGGTAGTAAAAATGTTCCAACTTCCTGTAAATAACCTTGGCAGTTTACGGAAAGCCAGGAAGACAGTGAAGAAGATCCTGGGGGACATTGGCCTCGAGTACTGCAAAGAGCATGTAGAGGTGAGTCTCTTCCTGGGTCTGTTGGACCGCCTCACTCATCTTCAAGAGGACCAGAACTATGGAAGCTTTGACAATAATAGACAAGCATAAAAGGCTAGTCGCTGTTCTAGCCAGTGGTCTCCCTGCAGCTGATCTTTTCCCTCATTATAGACTTCCCATGCCTTTTTCTGTACAGTCTTGGTAGAGAAGCAGACCTTTGCTTCCTCATGTTAGAGCTGCCTCCCATTGACTGGTGATCTGATGAATGGTGGGGGAATTATAAAGAAGTAGTAGGAGAGGTGCTGGAAGAACAGATTAAAAGAATGAATGTAGTAGAAGCAGGGAGTTCCTTGTATTGCAGGTTCCCAGCTACAGCTTAGTCTCCAGCAAGGAGAACAATGAGCAGCACAGTAGCGACCTATTCAAATATGGTGAGACTAGCAGTAAGAGGCAGCGGTGCCTTAGATGATATCGTGCAGTAGATATACAGCTGAGGTTCAGGAAATACACTGCCAATTCAGGAATAATGCTAAGGAGAACTGTTCAGCATTTGGCTTTGGCAAAACAGCGGATAAGATAGCATTTCTTCACATTTTTGGTCCTGGTCCACTTCTTATTCTTTCACCATGTAAAGTCCATTGATTTCTGAAGCAATCCATCTGTACAGTATAATGCAGTCAATATGAATAGGGCTGCAAGAAGGCCTTAAGGAAGGTCTGCCGTGTCCTTGCTCACCTCACTGTTTAGCTACCTTCCCTCACAGCTGCATCTTTTTCTACCCAACGCTTGGGGTGATTGCCCTAATTAGGGACCAATAATGTCTACACAGTATGCAGAATACTGTCTGCATAGTGACCCTGGGAGGAGGTGAAGGTCATTGACCTGTAAGATGGAAGGATTGGGGTCAGGTTGCTAAAACTGTATAACATACAAAAAACGTATGGGTTCCATGATGTGGTAGATCTAAGCAAGGTCCGTCTGAAAAATTGAAACCCCGGGGAAGTTTCTCTGACTTTTTCAGTTTAAAAAGTGTTGTACAGAATTCTAATTCCTAGCAAACTGAGAAGCTAGTCATCAGGAGAGGAAGTTGGGCGACACTACAATAAATTGGAATGAACAGGTTCTATCCATTCCCCTCTCTATCCAATACTTAAAGCCCAGCTATATAATAAACTTCTCAATCCAAAATAAAAAACTGCTACTTTAATACCCTCTCTCAAGCGCTGTCCCCACCAGGGGCAGACTGACCATTTGGAAACTCGGGCACTGCCCGAGGGCCCGGGGTCAGTAGGGGGCCCCATGAGATGCCCCTGGTACCTTTTTCATAGGCTTTTTTGAGTGTGGGCAAGGACACAGGGGCCCCATGATCCCCTATTGCCCAGGGGCCCTATGATTTGTTAGTCCGCCCCCTGGTCCCCACAGATGTGAAAACTTGCAATCCAGCACCAGCCTTCTGCAGGGTTGAATGACGCCCAGCGTCCTTTAACCCATTTGGTATGAGAACATAGCATTGTTGGTTTGCCTCTGGTAGCCCACAAAGAGGAAAAAATGTGGTAAAGGGAGGACTTGAGCTCAACCAAGTTTTTGGTTGGATTTGGGATATTTTAATAGCTTGTGAGCCAAAAGGCCCTTTTTGCACCAAATTCTTCTGTTGACAGCGGTATACAATGATGGTGAGACACCAACAAGGAGAGAGGCTCTTGCTTCCTGTCTCTTGGAATTTGTTTATGCAAGAAATATGGTTGCGGATGGCCAGATAGTGTATATACCCCATCATGCATTGCTTGCTTGTGTTAAAGTGATATTAAGTCATGTGGGTTTGTGGGTTTTTTTTTTTTTTTTTTTTAAATAACAAGCATTTCATGCATACCTGCTCTGTGTAATGGTATTGCACAGAGAAGCTCCAATACTCCTCTTCTCAGGTCCTTCGCCGGTGCTCCTGGCACCTCCGTAAGTGTGCCCAGAGCAAGCAGCTTTCTCTGGGAGCACCAAAGCAGGTGTCTATTCACACACAGAGCCACGTCTCGGCCTTGCCCCCTCTCTCCTGATTAGCTCACTGGCTTTGATTGACAGCAGTGAGAGCCAATGGCTCCCGCTGCTGCCTTAGCCAATCAGGTGAGAGAGTCCACAGAGAGCCAAGGCTTTCATGGATATTGCTGGATTGAGAAGGGGCTCAAGGAAATATTTGGGGGGCTGCTGCACACAGGTTTTTTTACCTTCATACATAGAATGCATGAAGGTAAAAAACCTTCAGACTTTAGAATCACTTTAAATGTTTTGTATCATTACTATGAGAAAGCTTTGCCTTTTCTCTTACTACCAAATGAGAATTTCTATTTATTCTGATACATGTGTATTGTGTGTGTTTTAATCTTGCCACGTTCTTCTGTTGTCAGGAATTTAAGCAGTTCGAACCCAATGACTTCTATGTGAAGAATACCTCCTGGGACGATGTGGGACTCTATGACCCATCGCTTACTAAAAATCAGGTAAATCTCATTGTAATGCTATTCTGACAAGTATCTTCTGAAAAAAACCTTTTTTAACCACACAAAGTGAAAATCAAAATTTGTACCCTCGTTTTTGACAGTAACAATCCCCCTCCCCCCATCCAAAGGTGCCAATCCTTAACTGGGAGCGGGGGTCAAAGGCTTAAAGCGGAACTTGACATTAAGCTTTCTTGGTCAACTCCTGGTGCATATTAGATATTGAATATGTTGGCTCTGCCTCCCTTGATTATATAAACAGCTACGGTCAAATATAAGGTCCAGAAACAAAGCTTTGTAGAATACCCCATACAAATGGATAAAGTTGCTTATGAATTATAATTTTCTTACTAACTGAAAAACCATCTATAGCATGGGTGTCAAACTGGCGGTCCTCCAGCTCCTGCCAAACTACAAGTCCCATGAGGCATTGCAAGATGGTTCAAAACATGACTCCCAAAGGCAGAGGCATGATGGGACTTGGTAGTTTGGCAACAGCTGGAGGGCCACCAGTTAGATACCCCTGCTATAGGCTAGCCACATATAGTTGCAAACAAAGACCAGCCATTCAGACAGCCACCCTTTCCATGAGACAAATGGCAGTTGCTGCTGACATGCCATTCCCATGTCTAGTGAAAATTGGCAGATGCCTATTAGTTAGAAAGATGGTAACCTGATACGCCTGATTTGAATGTTTTTTTTGCATGTTTGTGGCTGTCTGAAGTCTGAGTGTTAATGTGGGATTTTATAAAATTAACGGAGTTATTTAAAAATGCTCCCTGTTGGCTTTAGGTGTACTGGTGACCCAGTTACCAGCCAGCCATCATTTGTCGCCTCTCCCTTCATTCTTTTTTTTTTTTTTTTTTTTTTTTTTTTTTTTTTTTTGCTCCCAGACACGAGGCGCAGAGCAGACTTGATAGTTCTTTATGCTGTTAAAAAGCCTTTCATGCACATGACTGCTACTAAAACATTGTGAAAATGTCAGCTGAAAGCAATCAAGGGAGAGATTGTGCATTTTTCAGTGAGTTATTGTAATGTTTTCCTGACAAGTCATCTTGGACACAGTTTGTGGTATGTGTTTAGTTGTCTGTAGATGGGACGGTATAGATTGTGTCCTAGCAATACAACTCTTGTGGGAATGGGATAAGACGCACAGTGTTAGGCTTGCACTGAGATCCCGGTCACCCAATGCATTAATGTTTCGGTACATTAAGGCCCAATCGGCTGGTGGCTGGAGCAATGGTCATGCACTGATTTTTTTTTTTTTTTTTGTTTTTTTCTTTTCAATGTGTGCCACAACAAATGGTTCACATCTGTGTGTTGAGGCACACTACAATAATCCGTGGTGTTCCATGCTATATCTAGGTGCCTTAGGATGTGTAACGCATTGCATGACTAACACTGGGTGTATGGGTATTTAAAAGTAGATCTGAATAAATATAGCTATGGACCTACAGGTAACAACATATGTATGAGAATGTAAGCGCTTTTAAATATTAGTGATATTAAAGGGATAAGTTCACCTTTTAACAAAAATAAATTTGCAGGTGTAAAAAATGTGCATTTATTACTTTTTGTTTGTGGAGCCTCTAAAGCACAGGTGTCAAACTGCAGCCCTCCAGCTGCTGAGAAACTACAAGTCCCATCATGCCTCTGCCTTTGGGCGTCATGCTTTTCACTGTCAGCCCTGCAGTGCCTTGTGGGATTCGTAGTTCTGCAACAGCTGGAGGGCCCCAGTTTGACTCCCCTGTTCTAAATCATCTGCTGATCGCTGGTGCCATGCACATCTCCTCCTGACCTGTCAGTATATCTGCTTGCTCATAAATCCTGTACAGGCAAGCAGATACTTACTGACAGGAATGCTCAATGAACTATGCAGCGTGGTAATTTATAGAAAAATAAAAAGCCGACAGTCGCAAAGGCTGCAGGGACTTGTAGTTTTCCTTGTCACAGAATACTGTGAATTTAACATTTTTTCAAAATTGTGACCTGCTAGCAAGGAGGAGAAGATTCCCCCGCTAGCTGTCAGAGCGGAAATCGGGAAGTGGTACAGGGGCTGATCCAATCATATAATCCTGAATATGGGTGTAACATGTTACGAAAGGTTAATTTATCCTTTTTAAAGCTTCAGGTTTTTTTGTTTTTTGTATTAAAATAAACTTGGAGTACCTACCTACTCTGTGTAATGGTTTTGCACAGAGCAGCCCCTTTCCTTTTTTTGGGTCCCCCTGCTGGCATTCCAGGCTCCTATATTTTGCTTCCTGATCAGATTCCTTTGTTTTCTTCGTCTTTCTGGTATACGTGTGAAAATAAAAGTGTACTATGGTGTCCCCAATTTTCCTTTTACCTGAACTGTAAAAGTGGTCCATCATAATTGGCAAATGAGCCTAAGGGTTTTTTTTCTTTTTCTTTGATTACTAAAAATTTTTTGTAAGTTGGTCTGGTAGTAATTTGCACTTTTCTTCTTCCCCCTTTTAGGACTACCGCACGAAACAGTTCTGCTGCAGCCAATGTCCATTCTCCTCCAAGTTTTTCTCCGCGTATAAAAGTCACTTTCGCAATGTACACAATGAGGACTTTGAGAACCGCATTCTGTTGAACTGTCCATACTGCACATACAATGGAGATCGCAAGACCTTGGAAATGCACATTAAGGTGTTTCATGCCCCCAGTGCACCTCAGCCAAACCCACCTCTCACCGCTTTCAAGGATAAAAACAAGTATGAGAGCCTTAAGCCGAAGCCGACAGACAGTGTGGAGCAGGCAGTGTATTATTGTAAGAAGTGCACTTACAGAGATCCTCTCTATGAAGTGGTGAGAAAACATATATACAGGGAACACTTTCAGCATGTTGCGGCACCATACGTCGCCAAGTGTGAGAAATCTGTCAATGGTGCTGTGTCTACAGGTGCAAATGCTAACGACGAAAGCAGCATTCAGTGTAAGCGCTGTCGATTCATGCCGAAGAGCTATGAGACTTTAGTCCAGCACATCATTGAAGATCATGAACGCATTGGGTACCAGGTCACAGCTATGATAAGCCACACCAACGTGGTCGTCCCCAGATCCAAGCCATTGATGCTGATAGCACCAAAACCACAAGAGAAGAAGCCCCTTGGCATGCCTCAGCGAATGGGTCCAATTACGCCAGCAAATATCCGACCTCTTCCTTCACAACAGATGGTCAATAGACTTGCGATACCAAAGCCGTCAATTAATTCCAACATGATGACTAACATGCACATGCAGCAGAACAACTATGGCGTTAAAGGAATCACACCAGGATATGCGGTTGGCCAGCAGATGAGGCTAGGTATGGGTGGCAATGCACCTGTGTCTATTCCTCAGCAATCCCAGTCAATGAAGCAATTACTTCCGGGTGGCAACATAAGGCCGTACCCCCTCTCAAATGATCAGAGGTCTCCTGCTCCACTAAGGTACTCTCTTCAGTCTGGAAACTCTGCTTTGTCAAGTAGCCATCTAAAGCCTGCTTCCATTACTCCACCCCATGTAGCCTCTCGTGGTATGGTCCAGACAAGTGCAAAGCCTCCAGGAGCTGCTTCAGCAGCTGCTGCAGCAGCTGCCAATGCCAATGCCACCTCGTCTACCCAGAAATGGAAAATCTGTACCATCTGCAACGAGCTATTTCCTGAAAATGTATACAGCATTCACTTTGAGAAGGAGCACAAGGCAGAAAAGGTGCCTGCGGTAGCAAACTACATCATGAAAATACACAACTTCACAAGTAAATGTCTATACTGTAATCGATACTTGCCAACTGACACCTTGCTAAATCACATGCTGATCCACGGGCTGTCCTGCCCTTACTGTCGATCGACTTTTAACGATGTAGAGAAGATGGCGGCTCACATGAGAATGGTTCATGCCAATGAAGAAATGGCGCCCAAAACCGATTCCACTTTAACTTTTGACCTAACATTACAGCAAGGTAGCCACACCAACATCCACTTGCTTGTCACCACATACAATCTACGGGATGCTCCAGCTGAATCTGTCGCTTACCATGCTCAAAATCAACCAACGGCCACTCCTCCTCCTCCTCCGAAAGCCCCAGCAAAGATTCCGGAAAAGGTGGAGCCCGTAATCAAAAACTCGCCACAGACTGCTGTGCCCTACAAGAAAGACGTAGGTAAAACATTATGCCCGCTCTGCTTTTCTATCTTGAAGGGGCCTATTTCTGATGCTCTTGCCCACCACTTAAGAGAGCGGCATCAAGTCATTCAGACCGTTCATCCTGTTGAGAAAAAGCTCACTTACAAGTGTATCCATTGTCTTGGCGTGTACACCAGTAACATGACGGCATCAACTATCACACTTCATCTTGTGCATTGCCGAGGTGTTGGAAAAACCCAGAATGGGCAGGATAAGGGTGCATCTATGAGAATAAATACTACCCATATAATGCCTGCAATGAAACGTCCCAATGACTTTGTAGATCTAGTGAATGTGAAGAAGCGAAAGCCAGACGAGGACCCAGATGCTCCGATTATTTTAGACGATAAGCCAGAGGAGCCACCAGTGGCTTTGGCAGTCGATCCAAAAGGGCATGAAGATGACTCCTACGAAGACAGAAAGACATTCCTTACAAAATACTTCAACATTCAGCCCTATGCTAGCAGAAGAGAGATCGAAAAGTTAGCAGCCAGCTTATGGTTATGGAAGAGCGATATAGCATCTCATTTTAGCAACAAGAGGAAAAAGTGTGTCCGAGACTGCGAGAGGTACAAATGCAGCGTTCTCCTTGGCTTCAAGATGAAAGAACTTAATAAAGTTGATCACAGTATGGATTTTGGGGCTGAGTGGATGTTTGAGAACATTGACGAATCCCAGGCAGCACCAAACGCAAGTAAAACCGTAGATAAGCGAAAACTTAATGAGTCTAGTTCCTCAGATAGTTCAGCGATCATTGAAGAAGATTTGAACGATGGTGTCACTGTCATTGAGCCTTCTCCCGAAAAGGATGTCAAAGAGCCAGTGAAACCCCCTAGTACAGAACCAGTGAAATCCCCTAGTACAGAACCGGAGTCAAGTCTACCACAGCGGGCCGAAGAGTGTCAAGATGTCCAGAAGGCACCCGCTCCATCAAAAACCAACAATCATTCTGACTCATCTGCTGAGATAATTCTAGACAATTCTGACGAGGAAGAAAAAGAAGAGCCACCTGCTTCTAAAGATGAAACCTCTCGTTCTGACAGCGCACCGGTTTCTCAACAGGTCTTTGAAATAGAAGACAGCCCAGAAGATGGCCCGGAAGACAGTCCAGCAGATGAGCCAACAGCGGTCAAGCCTGAAAATTCGGTCAATGATTCCAACCACAGCGAGGATGCTGGGAGCACCAAGGAAGAAGTGAAAGAACAATTGCCAGAAAGTGATGAGGAGCAAACCAAATGGAAACAGAATTCCGTGGAAAAAGTTGAAGAGTTCTGGTCTAAAGAAAAGTCGCCGTCGTTAAGCAGCTCATCTGCCAATGAGGAGAGTTTGTCAAACCAGCCAATGGATTGGCAGACTGGCACAAACGATAGCGAAGATGGGGATCACTTTAACATGACTGTTACAGATAAAATGCATAGCAATCTAGCAGCTGTTGGACTTAGCAGCCAGGAAGTATAGATTCACCGACTACTGCGCGCAAACCAGTAGCTGAAACGTTTTTCATTTACAGCTGGACTTTCCTTGAACTTTAACTGTCCCAGAGTGGTCAGTGACTTGCACGGTTGAAATCTCAGCTGCTGAAATATACCCCTTTAAGACCATACTTGTCTAGATTGCTTGTGACTTCCTCCAACATTGGGCACCTGCCTGATGCGAAGAGCAACAGTGGATTATACAAAAACGCACCGTTGTGTTTTATCCAAAAGTTCTTGTTCCAGCTTCCGTAGAAATAAAAAAAAAAAAAAATCATTTTTTTTTTTTTCCATAAAGTTAGCCTTCTGAAACGAAACCAACAAAACCACCTTGAGTTGTGGTTTCCATCAGCTGAACTGTGCGACACCCATCGGCTTTGCATCCTGACATTTTTTTTTTTTTTTTTTTCCTTTTTGGCTCACTGTGTATAGAATTTTTGGGGGATACTAATTTTTTTTTTTTTTTTCCTCCCCCTGTCACGTATTCATTCTGAATAGTTAAAAATGTATATTTGTACAGTATTTTAGACTTATTCAAAAGTGAGGCTTCTAAAAATTGTTCTTGTGTACCCACTATAGAATTTGTTTTTTTTTTGTTTTTTTTTTTTCTTTTTTTAATTTAGTGACGGCCTGCTGTGTAATTAATGCTGTATCTAGTTTACCTAGCAAAAAAGGCTTGAAACCGCTATAATTCAAGGAGTTACAAAAAAACAAAAACTCAAAAAAAAAAAAAAAAGTTTAATATGTAATTTTGAAGAACTTTTAGTTTTTGCACATAATCCGTACAATCTCAGAATGGAGCCTGGACTTTTAAGATCGATCTCGGTTGTTGTATTAGAATTATTCTTCCTATTTCTGTCCCGTTAAAGCCCCAGACAGTAAGGACTTTGGACAAGCTGGTGTTTTGGAGGAGAAAGTATTTTTAAAGTGCACAAGCGGCCTACCAAATAATTGCGGCATCCATTTTTTTTATTATTTTATTTTTATTTTTTTTTTTAAGTGCCTCCTCCCTGTATTTTTACCAGGCAAGTTTCTGGTGAGCAGAGGCCTGGACTTGATTAGGCACATTATTGGCCGCCTATTGCACCTGAAAGGTAGGTACACTTTATTCTAGGGAGGTCCCAATGCAAGACAAAGTATGCCAGTTATTCATTTTTTGACACCTTTTAAAGAAGAGTCTGTAAAAAATATGTATTGTGTTCAAGTACCCAAAAACGGAAGACACAATGCTGTATTTTGGTTCTTAGTATATTTAGTTCACACCCACCTAGTGATGTTCATTTATACCATCTAATATTTGACACAATGTTGTAGTAGTATTTTGTGATCTTTCTTTCCCTTTGTATTCATTTAAGCATCTAAATAAATAAAAAAAGCTGTATTGTGCTTCACGTGGACCTTTTGCTTCTCTTCTGTGTATTAATGGTTTAGATTGCTAAAACCGTACCTGAACCCCAGGCAGATATGAGTTACACATTTTTGCAGCTCTGTGTTACAGTACAGTTGCAATACAAGAGGGTTAAGAGCTTACAATCTAATAGGGTGGGTCAAGTGGTACAAAAGGTAATAACTGTGAGGGATGAGCTGATGGAAGAGCTAAAAGTTCAGTAATGTGTAAGGTGGGATAGGCTTCCCTGAAACGATGAGCTTTTAGGGATCACCTAAAGGCAGCCAGAGTAGGAGATGGCTGGACAGATTGGGGTAGAGAGGTCCAGAGGATGGGAGAGGCTCTGGAGAAGTCCTGGAAATGAGCATGGGATGGGAAGACAAGTGAGCTAGAGAGCAGGAGGTCTTAGGAGAAGTGGAGAGGATGGTTTGGGTGATATTGATATTATACAGGATTTAAATTGCGCCAACAGTTTGCTCAGCACTTTACAATATAACGGGAGACAATACAGTTCAATACAAGAGGGATAGGAGGGCCCTGATCCTGGGAGCTTACAATCTGGGAGTGATATCTTGAGAAAAGATGGGTGATGCAGCTCAGGGCAGAGTTATGAACGGCTTTGTATGTTAGTATTATGAATTTATTTTGCTTGGCAATACATTAATACTCCATTTTTTATTTTGTAAACAAAGCGAACAATGCAAGTACCTGATTTTTTGCTTGACATTAGCCATTTGCAGCCCTTTCACAACAGAGCTGAGACTGGGAGATGGAGAAGCAGCACAAAGAGCCAGTCAGTTGTGCTGCATGGTTTATTTGTCAATAAGGAAGAGGTTTGGCTAGAGATGAGACTTGGGTGTGTTACTGAAATATGACTGAAAATAAACTGAAATATCATGTCTCCTGCTCTACCTCACAGGTGGCACTATGTGTCAGGGCTGTGTAAATAGCAGGGCTGGTTGGACAGCAAGACAAATTATTTATTTCAGGTACTTATATAGCGCCGTCAATTTACGCAGTGCTTTACATATATATTGTACATTCACATCAGTCCCTAACCATCAAGGGGCGTACAATCTAAGGTCCCTAACTTACAATCATACTTACACATACTAGGGACAATTTAGACAGCCAATTCAACTACCAGCACGTCTTTGGAGGGTGGGAGGAAACCAGAGTATCTGGAGAAAACCCACCTAAGCACAGGGAGAACATGCAAACTCCAGGCAGGTGGTGCCGTGGTTGGGATTCGAACCAACGACCCGAGTACTGCCAGGCAGAAGTGCTAACCATTTAGCCACTGTGCTGCCCAAATCCTTTGGCAGTTTAACTGTATGGATGAGCTAAGGTTCAAACCAACCCCGAAGGAATATCTGATGCTCTGTTCATTGAAACCGTTCATCTTCTGCCCTCCCCCCCTGCAGCTGTACTATTCTGTTGCTGCAGGAATAAAATGAGCAACTTTACTAGTCAACGGCACTCGTCAAAAGTGCTGTCTATGCCTGCCTTTTCTGTCCCTCCTGTTCCCTTCATAGAAGCTTTTCTATTAGTTCCATAGTGAAAAGAGCTATATGAATGGAGGAGGCAAATCATCCTCTGGTCATAGATTACTTTTCATTGTGTGAACTGATAGTTCAGCTTCTATGAATGGAGCAGGGGGTGTAAAATACAGGCATAGTTGGTACTTTGGAAGCGCGCCTGTCACAGCTGCTGCAGCCCATATTAACCCTGGAGGTGGGAAATCTCAGCTCTGCAGAGGGTAACTGTGGGCAGAGGATTGAAAATTTAAATGAAGAGAGCAGCCACAAGCACACATTCATTTAGGTACCATCCCTGGTGCTAAAAAAACTTTAAACTTCAGCTTTGATCTTCTATTCAGCAGAATGGGTAAGGAGGAGAAATGACTAAGTTGCTATCATTACAGGGGAAAGTTGCATCTAGAGCTTTCCACTCCACATTTTGCAACTCCCTGATATCCTGTGTATTGTAAGGAATATTTTCAGAAGTCACTACCATTTTAGAAGTGGTGTTTCATCCATCTGTATAGAGTAAGGATGATGGATACATGGAATATAGATGAGCACAATGAGAAACTCCAGTGACCGCTACACCCAGACATACTGTAAGTCCTAGAGCAAAGGAGGAAATCACCTCTAAGTGCAGTATCCAAAAGACCCAGTATAGGGCCACCTACATTTAGAAAAGATTAAACAGGCTCATCTGTATGAGCCGACCAATCACTCCCTCTGTCTGTGGCGTACAACATGGGCATGCGTAATGATGTCTGTACTGTAAGTCCTGCCCTTATTCACACCCACTTTGTATTTGGGTTTCACTTTCCTCACACCTCTTTTTGAGATACTCCCAACTTTTTGAGGCTCCTCCTAATAGCTATGGAATATATGAGGTCCTTGGATGTCAAAAGCAGCAACCTTGTCACCAAAGTATTGGTCAATGAATAGAAATCACTAATGCAGTGCAAGTTTTCAGATATGAGTCTACTGATGCGGCAATAATTTTGTTATTACTTTTAAAGGCTTTCAGTACACCTTTAGGAAAAAAATTAACAAATGCACATTTCTCTGCATTTATTATTATTATACAGGATTTATATGGCGCCAACAGTTTACTCAGCACTTTACAATATGATAGGAGACAATACAGCAACAATACAGTTCAATACAAGAGGGAAAGGAGGGCCCTGCTCCTTGGAGCTTACATTCTAGGAGGGATTATCTTTTCCCACAGGGGCCCACTCAGTGCAATGTCAGGCTTCTGCAGACATGTCATCCAGCTTTCTACCAGTATCTCTGTATGGGCTTTAAGTTGGAAAGCTGGAGAAAGTGGTAAGACTGACGGCGCTGATAAGTGCACTTATACTCCATTGAGATTACAAACCTCCTTCCACGGTGGCAGATGGCAATTGTAGTTTATCCGTTCACACATCCCTGTGTGAATAAACTGGCTTTCTGTAGCGCCGTGCGTTGATTATAGATGTGACTGCGGGAGAGAGGACCCCCTGCCTGCTTTCACAGGGAGTAGGGTGTGTTACCAATTATACCCTAAATATGGGTGTAACATGTTCCTAAAGGTGAACTTGACCTTAAAGTAGAACTATAAACAAACTTTTTTTTTTTTTTTTTTCCCATTTTGGATAGAGCCAGGGAGAGTTATAACCCGTCAGTTTTTTTTATTCTCGCCATCTGTGCCCATTGTGGAGATTTACTTTCTTTTTCTGTCCCATAGCCACAACAGGAAGTGAGGAAATCCCTCAAATTTAAGGGAATTTCTTGTGGACCTCCAGGCCACCAGAACTAGTGTCCCCGTTTAGAGGATTTCCCCTCTATTACTTTTCTGCAGACAACCCAAAATTTGGGATTTTCTTTTACTTTCATACTGGGTAATGGTAAACAGAACAAAAGAGGGTGAATTGTAGCCTAAAAACAAAAGTATAATCTGCTGCTTAGCAGTTCTTGGATGTGGTGTCTGCATCAGTTTTCTCTTTGCAGGTTAAGGCCTGAATGTGAATTTAGGAGCTTTTGGCATTTTTTTTTTTTTTTTTTTTTTTTTGGCCAAAACCCCTGAACTCAACTCAATAA